ATATGATCATGTAATTCTGTTAAATGTTGTTTCATTTCTTGATCTATATTATCATCAAACCATATAATTATTATATCTTCATTTTTATTTAATATCATTACATTATTGGTTAATTCTATATCAGACAATTCTAGTAAACGTTTATACTGTTGTGATGATTGTTGTTGTTGTTGTTGATGATACCATTTTTGTAAAATACCAAAATATATTTTTATTAATTCTGATATACGATCTGGTCGTATGGGATGGATAATACGTAATAGACGATTAACAACGATTAAACCAACACACGATGAAAAACATACGTTTATAAGTATGTTCAAAGATGACATTCTTTTAATGATCAAAAATATTGAATTTACGCAGTAAGCAGTACTGGATAAAATTATGGGAACGGCACGAATTACCCAGTTATCTTGTTTTTTTTCTCAAACCAGTTTATTTGCAGCGTCGGGAGTAACGACTTCGCTAAAACTTGAACGAAAAAGCAGAAGAAGAGTAGAAGCAATTAAGCGTTTAATGTACTCTGATAATTAATCAAAGATAAGACTTCAAACTTTGCCGTTTGGATGTTAATATATTGAACGCAGTGGTGTACTTTGCCCCGAAAATGACATGTAACGGGGCTAGTACATCCCATGTAACTTCACTGCGTCTGAAGCAACGCGTTTATATTAAGAAAGACGCATCTAAACGCGTTATTTTTCAAAAAAAATTGGCAGACGCGTTTACGTTAGATGCGTCAGACAGTTTTTGACAAGAAATCGCGTTTAGACGCGTCGTTTAACGGAAAACTGATCGGACGCGTCTAATGAAGATGCGTTTGACCGCGTTTGCTAATTTTCCGGGAAAATAAAACCTTCAGACGCATCTAAACGTCTTTTGGATAGGAAGCCTTTAAACGCGTCTAAGGGAACTTTCTAACAAGTCGCTTTTGAACGCGTCGTATCCTAACGCGTGTGTAAACTTAAATGAGAAGACGCGTTTTTCTTTGCCACTTTTCGCGTTCAAATGCGTCTTATCCTGATGTGTCTAAGTAGTTCAAATATGCACTCATATGGTACGTCTAGGTACGTTTTATACTGACGTGTTCAGAAACGTTTCGTTTTATACGCAGCTTTTTTTGCTATTTTGGCGTGTCAAGTTAGGCTCTGTGTTTTTATAGATAGTTAAATTGTCTTTAAGAAACGGTGCGGGCGCTAACGCAGACGAATTTTTTCATTGCATTATAACACAGCGAATCTAAAAAACAAAAGCACCGTGCAAGTTTTATCGCTTTATCAATAATAAACCCTAGTCGAGACTCCTGATTAATCTCCCGCAGGAGTCCTGTCACGGGGCCCCGGCACGATCCTCTGTGGAGTCATGGAGGATTTTTAAGGGATTCAAGAGGGATTCCTCAAGACTCCCACAGGAGTTCTATGGGATTCTTAAGGAGTTCTCGGGGATTTCAAGAGAGTCCTTGGGGACTCCCTGTGGGTCTATTGATCCATCTTCTTAATTTCATGTAACTAATTAGTAATTAAGTGCCAGATACTATCACTGGTACCGCTGGAGCACATATCACCCATCGAA